AGGGATAACTGACGACTTTCAAGAGAAACTCGAGTAGAGTACTGATGGTTTCTCAGATGAAGGGTTTCGGTTTGCTGAGCTAACCAGACAGGATTCCTTCCTTAATAGTCCTGTTGTTACCTCGTAGCAGTATCTGAAGTGTTTTCCTCGAATATTGCTTGCAGGGTTACTTCAGGGTGCATTGTGCGCTTGCATGTGATCTCCCACATCGGCCACAACGTTTGTTGGTCTTAATCCAGTCTATGATTTGAGCTTTATCAAACACTTAAAGCTGGCCATTGCTTGATAATGATGTATGCTTCATGAGTAAGGACAGTAGGCTTTTGAGTGAGCCTGTCTTCATTGGCTCTGGGCAGGGGCTCTCTACTGGTACGATGACTCACGTTCGATGGTGGTGACAAGTCTCTGTGCCATGGAGTATGGGTAGCTGCACGAGGGTTATGAACTCCTTGACTTGGGCCGATGTTCTTGCTTCTGGAATGGGTTTCTCTTTGTGACCTTGGTTACCGCTATAACTGTCACTATCTTGGCACCAGGTTTCCAGCTGCAGCCAACTAGAGAGCTCTATTAGATTGTAAAACCCGTACCTGGGTTGACGGGGACACATATATCTCTGAAACTCAGCTCATCTCAGCAGCGTAATTTACTAAGGAACGTGCACATGAGAACCACATCGCAAGACTCCATCTCTCCTTCCCTGGCCGAGCGGTTCTCAGGCATACTGACGATGGCCACGAATCTCGCAATGGCAAATCTCTCAAAGGCTATCTTGTCTCCACAGTCTGATGGTCAGTGCAATCCATCAACTGGCGATCTTCTTGACAGCTAACTGATGGGGGCTGACCGCATTTCTTGGACAGGGCTGCCATTTGTGTCAGCAGTAGTGGGGGTAGGAGAATTGAAGATGTTGCATCTGCTAATAGGCGTGCTTCGTATAGTTTTAATGATCCATCGGATCTGGTACTTGGAATAGCTCTGTCTTTATTCAGTTCCGCGGAAGTAGATTATCAAGACAATCTTCAGCCGTGCAAACTCACAGGGGTCCTTCTTAGTGAGATCAGGTCATGGTAGGTCTATGACCCCTATAGGTTCTTTCTTGTGCTGCACATATGGGCTGGTATCATGTTCCATACGTCTCTGGTTGTGGGGCTGGATGTGAATGAGATTGGATCTGGGGTACGGTATAGGTGATGGCTGACTCTGACCTGGAGAGGCTTTGTTGGTCATAGTGACCATGGTCTAGGGGACTAGAACGAAGGATAAGGCACATGGTTATCTTGTAGGTGATCTTACTGAAGCTAATAGTGTTTGACTCCTTTAAAGCTAATTCACCAATCATCTTATCCAGTGTGTCAAGCATCACAGTATCCTTTGAGTAGACACTATGGGCTTGAGGGGTCAAGGTGTATGACCTCTGATGACCTTGGGGTAGATCTCTGTACTGGGTTTGGTCGTGCTGCAGAGACTGGCTCCTTCCTGTCTCTGGCCTGAATGCATAGGGAGTAACAGTAGGGACACTGCCTGACTGCACATAATGTCTTGACATTGACATAACAGGCTGACATAACTCACTTCGTATTCACTGAAGTAAGGAGGAGGATGAACTAGCCGCTTAGGACGTGTAGATTCTGATGAGGCTTCACCGTATGTGAAACTAGGCTGCATCATGGAATCCAAGGAAAACATCTCTTCCGGCTCGAAGGACCAATGAAAAATAGGGAGTTGAGGAAGGACTGTATAATGAAAGTTCCACTCGGAATGACGAACGCCTTGGGGTGTCGGTAAGAACACAGGAGTCTTGGTAGTGGTTAATTCCTTTTAGTGAAGATATCAACACAACAGTCACAGTAATACAGCCTTGGAGCAGGTGTAGTGTATGTATATGTGTGTGGTTGTTGGTCAGAGACGCACAAAGCTCACACACACTAAGTTGCCACTAAAGGTCCAGGCTGCGCTCCGTCGACATGACGTGCTTCTCTCCCTTTCTCCTAACAGCTGCGCTCCATGTGCTTAATAGGTACAATTGCGCGTGCCACCAACAGAGGGCGCTGGAGTAACAGTCAGCAGGCTTTCCAACATTGATATTGTAGCATTGATTTTGATTGTGAATAAAGACTTCTAAAGAAGATGTGCAAGGGCAACATTCATTTCTAATTGCTTTATATAAAATTAGAGTAAGTGTATCTTACATATCCGTCCATGGCCCAGTTGTCGTTTTTAAACTTGCTGTAGTAATGCTCTGTGGGCCCCTTGACCTGGTACACCTTCAGCAGCAGCTGGTTTTCCTCTGACTTGTAGGTACCTGCATGAAAAGATACATATATATATATAGATAAAAAAACTTGAATAAAACAGAATCATATAAGTACAGGTATCAGGTTTCATAGAGCAAAAACATTTCAAGTGCTACTCAATTAGCTTTAGATAAGCCAGTCCTTTATTAGCATATAAGAGCTTTGTTAGTAATTGTATTGCTCGAAGTGGTGTCGAAAGAGATGAGTTTTTAGTCAAAAAGAGATACCTTGACATTTTGATTTATAACACTCTTTTCCCTTCACGAAGCACCTGCCACATTAATTGGGAGAAAGTGACATTCACCCTTCAGCTACATATCCATACAAGGTTAACTATAGCACCAACACAGAAACTGTTGCTTTCAATATCACAAGCCCATGAAAGAGAAATATCACAGATTTAAAATGAAATCATTTTATATGTTGAGAGCCCTTGCCTCCTACCTGCAAAACATCTTTCATGACCCGGAAATCAAGCTGAACTATTGATTGTGAAATGTCAAAACACACATACGTGTCAGTTGGTGAGTCAGACCGTTTTTTAGGTTTCATTCAAGAGCGCAGCTTTACATTTTTAACCTTCCACTATTTCTCATACTCCAATATCTGAAGCACATTTGAACACAAAACATGTCCACAGGAGTAATGCTGTGAAAATGTACGTAAACTGTATATACTGTACATTATTGTGGTGATTCTGCAGTTGCATTGAGGTTCATGGTTCCCACCTGTGCCTCTGTACGTTGTATTTTCTACTGGATTTTTATCAAAATGTGAATGGCGCCAACAATATTTTTAGATTTCAGTGAGGCTTTGCTAATAAGTGTAAATGAAAGCCTGATCTTTATCAGCCAGATGTGTATTAACACCCAAAGTGTGACTTACACTGCATTTCAAGTTTGCAAATCTTCAAAATCTGGAAAGTGAATGCTTTTTTTTCAGCTGGAATCAAAGGTGGTGTTACAATAATCATTTGCACAATGACAAGTGCATTTCTTTTTCACATTATCTGCCTAGTGTTGTATGAAATAAAGTATTTTTAATCTCTTGTCTACATGTATAGGTACGTATCTAATTCAGGGTTTTTCAGTTAAAATCTAAAAATATATGAAAGCTATGAAACATTAAACAACATTAGTACAGTTATATTTTTAAGTTTCTCAAAATAAAAATGAGAGTATCTGTTTTGCTTGTTTTTTACCTGACAGTCTGATTGACACCCCGCTGGTTTCCAGTAATGTGACGTTGACTCTGCTGCTGGTAGTGTTGAACCCAGTAACTGTGAATGTGGTGGCCTGTCTTTTCCCTAGATACTCGTAGAAACCGCTCCACTCAGAGTTTGGAGAAAACACATCCACTGGAACTGCAATGGAGAGAGAGAAACAAAGAAAGAGGAAATGTAAAGCTTGCTCTTTTTCCTTCACATTAAACTGCAGCAGTGTTTCTGTTACTCTCTATCTGAATGACACACTTAGATTTATGACTTATTCAAAACTCAACAACTTCAGTATTCTTGCAAAACTCTTTGTTGGCATCTCTTCACAGGCTCTAAATGCATATATTGATTTAAAAAAAGCTTTCTTCAAACTTACAAGGTATTACATGGTATTGCACCTGAATGTTTTCGCTGATTTATTTACTCAGTCTGAGCCATCATAAATCTGCAATAAGGCCCATGTAGTCGACACTCTGTACAACCTTCTGCAACAAAAGCTATCCCTCTCTGGATAAACTTTGTGGTTTTTTGATCATCAAAATGGCGTGATGAATAGTATTCCAAGCCAATATAATAACATTACAGAATTGATAATACATCTGTGGTTTAGGTACAACAATGTGTTGAAATGGTTTATTCTGCATACCTCTAATCTTGTTTTTCTGAACATCTGAGTCTCCTCTGACTTTGGGATTGACTTTCACTCCAACTGAAACAACAAAAAGCACTTTGTTTACATCAAATCACTTCATGTTTAAGCTTATTGAAAGTATATTTGTTATAGAAAGGGTTGGGAATAGATGACATGAATAAGGTAATATGATGAATGTGTATTCATTAAGATAACATGTAATCTAGTGACATTTATCAGTTATTTGGTTCTACAAAATGAGCCAACTGGCAGACTGTTTTTTTTTAATTGAATTGATTTATTTAAAATGATTTATTTAAAACAAGGGACAGTGTACATTAATCAACATATTAAAAACATATAAAAGTACTCGAATTAACCAAAAGGCTAGTTTTCATCGATAGTCCCTTTGCCAGATGGTGATAGACATCCTAAAAGCAATAATAAAATTACGACTGCGGTCGCACTTGTGCGCGCAGTGATGAGCGGGCCCTCGCGTCCGTGCGCCTGTCGGGGAGGGCGGCCGGTCGTCCCGGCGTCAAGCAGACGCGCGCGAGTCCTCGGAAATGAGCCGTTTGTCATTTCTCTAATTTTCGCGTCCCAGGTCCTCCGGCATCGACCCGGAAACGGATGTTGGCACGCCGTCTCGAAGGAAAACAAATTTCTCTCAAGGCTCGTCGAGGACCGATATTCGAGGAGGCTGTCTGGAGGTGCCGTAAACGAGGATACACTGATTTAGAGGAGACAGGAGTCTCTCTGGAGGAGCTATAACCGAGGGTACAACGATGTAGAGGAGAGAGTAGAGAGGAGAGAGGAGTCTCTCTGGAGGAGCTATAACCGAGGGATGTATCCTCCGGAGTCGATTTCAGCCAACAGTGATGTTTAAAAGAGGCGTGACGCATGGCTGGACTTATGTCAACGAAGCACAGCTCTGCAAACTGTTCCCGTTGTGATTATAAGTTAGTTGAGATGATAAAATGTGCATCAGACTTTCTGCCCTTTACCGTTTGTTTACTCACTAATCACATCTCCCCTGGATGTTAGGCTATTTCTTTTTTTAATACAACTGCTTTCATTGTATCACGATGTTTACAGTGAGAACAGATGCTGAGGTCAGTGCAGAAACAGAACAGTGTGTATAATATATATCGCTCAATAATATATGTAACAGGCAGCCCACATTTCACACTTTATTTGTAGGCTTTAGGAGATATCTACAAATAAACAGTAGGGTTAGGGTGTGTATAGGTGTCTGTTGTAATGAATATGCCCCCAGCAAAGGGCGTTGTTGGACTAACAGTAGGTGTGTGTGTGTGTGTGTGTGTGTGTGTGTGTGTGTGTGTGTGTGTGTGTGTGTGTGTGTGTGTGAGTTGTGTGTGTGTGTGTGTGTGTGTGTGTGTGTGTGTGTGTGTTGTGTGTGTGTGTGTGTTTGTTTGTGCAGGCAGGTGTGTGTGTGTGTGGTTGCAGGCAGGTGTCAGTTAGGTTATCTGACATATAAATGCGTCAAAACATTGTACATTTCTCCGTTACGCTTACGAGCTGCCGTTTGAGCTAGCAACTATTTTCTTCGCAATTTAGCATCATATCTGGATAGGGTGTTGAATTTGTCCTGGCATTGGAATTTTGTTCCGATCCATCACCCCTAGCGAGGCGAGTTTGCAAAAATGTCTTAAAATGGCTGAAAAACGCAAAGTTTCCAAATGCCGACTTCTGGGGGGCGTGGCTAATGAAAAGCAATTTGAAATATGTGTGCAATATAATAGCACTGTGTATACAGCGTTTCCGTGAATATCGGCACAAAAACATATGCGAGTAGTTTGTTAGTAATTTGTGACATGTAAATCGTCAAAAATTCGAGACATTCTCCGTTCGCTACGAGCTCATCGTTTGAACGATCAATTATTCCTTCGCACATTCATAGCATCAATATTGATAGGGGTTGAATTTTCCCTGGATGTGGAATTTTCCGATCATACCCTAGAGGAGTTGCAAAAATGTCCTTAAAATGGCTGCTGGAAAAACGCACATTTTTCCAAATGCCGCTTTCTGGGGGCACGTGCTAATGAAAAGCAATTTGAAATATGTGTCACATCTATAATAGCAATGTGTATACAGCGTTTCCTGAATATGGAAAAATATATGCGAGTAGTTTGTTAGTCATTTGTGACATGTAAAGGCGCAAAAATGGAACATTCTCCGTTCGCCTTATTTATCACAGATGGATCATCATTGACTTTTTTAGACAGAATTAGCGAGGGCCAGTCAGGCCACTAATGAGCTCATCATTCACATTGTATTTTATTACTTTATAAATTAAGAAGTAGCCTACTAGGTGTCTATTACAAAAACCCTTTGAAGAATCATCATGCATTCTGAATGTTTCTGCTTTAAAAACAGGCATCATGGCTCAATATCCTGTTCTTGTTTTAAGATCTATTCCCATCAAAATCCTATTCACTCTTTCAAAACTGCAAACTAAAACATTGGAGGCCTTAAGCTCCATGGTCAGTGACCTATACTTCAGAGTCTTCCATCAAACTTTAAAAATCGGCAAACAGCATGTTTTAAAGATTTAATCCTTTTAATAAACAAAACTCCTCCCTCTCTCTCGCCCCAGACACGGGTTCTAACAAAACACGCTATTTTCAATCGCACACATAACTTGAACACATACACACCTCTCTTGCTCACCTTCCCAGCCCACTCTCCCTTCCTCTTGTCTGCGTGCAACGGCACAGCTAAGCGCTATACGCACTACATATCAAATTCAACACCCACTCTTCCAAAGTCCCGCCTATAGCTCGCTCGCCCCCTCTCCCACCCCTCTGCTCTCTCCCCTCACTCACATAACTATTATACCTATTATATCAGACAAAAAAACTACATTTTTTTGCATTTATAGGCTATTTATCTAATATTATACAACTTAACGTCCAATAAGACACAAAGAACTCCTATAGGGGAAGAAATTAACAACTCCTGCACAGGCCTACTTTCAAAATAAACATTAAACACAGCACCTTTGGGGAGTCTCGCACTCTTGCAACAGGGAAAAAAAACATATTCATTTAAAACTGGGCCCAACTTTCGAACATAACTAAACAACTCCTATAGCTGCACCCTAAACAAGACGTCTACAAGGTAGGGTAGGTCCAAGAATGGAGCACACCAGCTCGAGTGCGCCGGAGAAACTTTGAAAATACACACACCCGGAAAAAACTAGAAACCTAGCTTCCTTCAGACCTTCTACAGATCCCTCCTCCAACACACACAAACGCGCATCATCACTGAGGCCACGAGCCTAACATAGTGTGCACAGATGGAAACAGGATCGGAAGGCTGACAGCAGGCTAGGCCATCCCAGTTATTTTAGCCGGGCGGTCGGCTAACAACATGATTTGTCGTGCTTTTTACAGCGTACGCTTCCAAAGACTCAACCTTCCTCTCTGTATGTCTTTATTGTCAACGCGCGCCTTTAATACCTACTTCCATTGCTACTCGGCCGGCGTCTCAGAGCTTCCATCGGCCAACCTCATAACACAAAAAGCTGTTTTCTGAAGCTAACCCATTACTACCGCCATTGAACTTCATGACCTGCAGATCGCTCACGCCGTCTTCCGCTCTCCCGTCGCTTGCTTCCCTCGATACGTCCACAAGGCTGCAGCACGTTGGGCACAACCCTCTCCTTAATACTCAAGCACATACCGTTAAACCAGCACTCGTTTGCTGTGAAAGCACGTATACTCTGTCCACCAAGAATTAAATCCTGTGTCATCCTCCGGTACTTCTTCGACTCTCTATCCATCAGTTTGGCTCATCGAGCACGGGCCGGTCCGCCGCGCGAGTGTGCTCGCAAGAAAAGGCGCCTCGCGGCCGGGACCGTAGCAGGATGTGACGCATATTTAGTTGACCTAATTAAAACGTTTTGTTTTTATTTATTTGTCCACGTATCACCTCAAGAATACAAGATCCGAAACATTTCAACGCGTGCAACAAAATTATAAATAATCCTACAAATACTTTTATTTTATTTCCTTCTTATTTTTTTTCTAAGCTAAAGGGAGCCAGACGCAGAGGGCTTACACAGCGCGCCCTGCCGCCCATGCCGCGCGCCGCGCCGCTGCCGACCCCTGCCCTAGACGCGCCTTCGCGAAGAATGTCTTAAAATGCATGAAAAACGCACATTTTTCAACCCCAAGGGGCCCCGCTCCTCCTGCGGGGGCCAGCGGCTTACTGCGACCACGCGGAAATCTTTACCTCTGCTGTGCATCCAATAACTAGTATGTGTCATACGCCTTTTGTGAATATCCCTGGACCAACACCTCAACATGCGAGCCCCCCAGCTTCTGGGCAGGCAATTTGCGACACTGTAAATCGTCAAAAATGGTATTCGCTGTTAACTCTACGAGCTCCACAAGTGATTTCTGTCAACAATGTGCTCTGCAATTAACGTACTCATATTGGATAGGGGCTGAACTTGTCCATGCGATCTGTAATTTTATTCCGATCATTCCCCAAGGAGGAGTTCGCCAAGAACTGTCAGCCCCTGAACACCCCACCTGCCGGCCGAAAACGCACACTTTCAAAAATGGCCCCCGACCTCCTGCGCGGGGCACGGGTTCATGCGACGCCCTAATCTTGACACTACTGTGCTCGCAGTCATCACTAGTAATGTGCCTCCTACCAGCGTTTCCCCATAGATATCGGGGAAAAACCTACCACCCCACTCGGACACCGTTTGGAGCAATTTGCGACATGTAAATTGTCAAAAATGGTGATATTCACTGTTTACTTACGAGCTCCACAGGGAGTTTTTCCAAAAATGTGCTCTGGCAATTAAGTCTCATATTGGATAGGGGCTGAACTTGTCCTGCATTGGATTTTTTCGATCATTCCTTAGGGAGAGGTTCGCAAGAATGTTTCTGAAAATGGCTGAAAAAGCAGCATGTTCAAAAATGGCCCAACTTTCTGGGCGAGCTAATTAAAAGCCAATTTGAAAATATGTCGCACATCATCAAGAGCAACTCGCCTCCGTCTACGTGCTCCCGTCGACATCACCTCGACATAACCCTCCACTCCCTCGTCCGCTCTGAGTCACCTTTCGCGCCGCACTGCTAAATCGCTCCAAAATGGAACCCCCCCCATTCTCCGCCTCCGCTAACGACCTCCACGCACCTTCGAGCTTCTCACACACATGTTCTTCTCAATTCTCGATTGGATCATGGACTCAGGCGCTGACGTGCGCCCACCTTGCGATTCTTTCCGGAATCATTCCTTAGTAGGGCGCCCGACGTTTCGCAACGAATGTGCTTAAATGCATGAAAAAACGCACATTTTCCAAACATGGCGGACTTCGCGGAGGCCGGGCGGCTAAGTGGAACTCTTTATACAAAATATCCGCAATTTCATGAGGAATGCCCTGCGTGCCAAAATTCGGTAAAGTCTCTGGAGAACTGTTATGGCTGACTACCACACAGCCTAGGGGCGCGGATTGGGGTGAGCAGTTTTTTTGCAAAAATTACGAGGTTTGTGGTGGTACTTGTGGCGTCGACGCACAGGCGTGGGGATTCTGACGCTGCCAGGTGTCCAAGGTTTTGCGTCCAAGCTGCAACTTATGCTTATCGCAGGATTTTTAAAAAATGTTTAGGCCACGCACCACATTCGGAATTTGTTCGAACACTTTAATCTGAGTTCGTGAGGCACCAGGGAGAGTGTGTGTAAAATTTTTTTAAATGATTATCATCCGACTCTTGGAGTTAATAAAGTTGTAAGTCTTTTGGCGCCCCCTGTATGGTCGCAAAAATGAACAATGCTTTGGTGTGGTATTCCCAGACAATTTGAACCTATCTACAAAAGCTGTCGAACTCGTTCTCCTCGCCCATCATCTCCGTTGAGTGAGCTTCACTGGCAGTATTTATTTTCTAAGCCCGCTTTTGCGAGAACGTTCCATTGATTGACGGCGGCATAGCTTCTCACCTCGCCACCACCCTGCTCATTTCTACGTATGCTGTCGACTCCACCCCGACCTCCCGCCTTGTATACGAAAGCTTTGGCGTTGAAAAACTGAAAATTGAAATCTTACACGTGATATTCTACACTCGTCTCTTCGAACCTCACTTATCGCTGTCACTTTACGAAGAAAACCCAATGTAGGGCGGAGCTTAGGGTTCCAACCCAACCATTATTTGTAGAGAGGTCCACCGGACCTATGTGCTGCAAAATGTGCAGGTCGGATTCGGGCCACCCGTAACGTGCGACTTCTGGTAAATCGCTCCTACTCCCTCCGACACAATGGGCATCTCTTGACTAGGGTGGCGCTATTGACGCACGTTGGAATATTTTAACCCACTTCCACTCAGAATGTTCTCGCAACTTTTTACCCGCGTCCTGGCGTCCGTGCCAAAATCTATACAGACTTTTGTTAACGCCTCTCAACAAGCACCTCAAAACAGCCGCAACGCGCCCATAATCACTCAATACCAGCCAGACACCTCCACCACTAGGCTCTCCTCGCCTTCCCCCCCGCGCCCTCCGGCGCGCCGTGCGGTCTGCGCCTCCCGGTGCTCGGGCCTCCTCCATACCCTCCAATAATTAACACAGCCTGAGCGCGCCTCCCACTTCGTACGCGCCCCGCTGCATGAGCCGCCCCCTCGCGCCCGCCCCGCCGTCCGCGCTGGCGGGTGGTACGGAGAGGCAGGCGGTCGTCCCGCGTCACCGCCCGGCTGCCCGCGGCCCCCCCGCGCCACCGCCGCGGCCCGTGGCGAAAGCTGAGTCGTCGTCCGAGGGCGGCGCTCTGTGGTGCGGGGCGCGGCGCCGCGCGGTGCGCGCGCGGCCGCATCGACCCCGGAAACGCGCACCGTTGGCGCCGCGCCGTCTGCGAAGGAAAGACAGAATTGCGTCTAAAGCTCGTCGAGGTGCGATATTCGAGACTGTCTGGAGGTACCGTAACCGCGGAGTACCCGACTTTAGAGGAGAGAGGCACAGTCCTCCTGGAGGAGCTATAACGCACGGCCGGGTACACACGACGCCTGTACCGCACGGGAGAGAGTGAGAGAGGAGTCTCTCTGGACGAGCATAACGAGGATCTGTCCTCCGAGTCGATTCAGCCACACCAGTGATGTTCGCGAGCGTGAGCGCATGGCTGGAACTTATGTGCACGACAGCACAGCTCTGCAACACTTGGTCCGTTGTGAATTCATAGAATTATTTGAGATGATGAGAAACTGGCAGCAGACGTGTCTGCGCCTTACCGTTTGTGTTACTCACAGTGACGCATCGCCGGCTGATGTTAGGCTACTTCTTTTGCTTAATACAACTGCTTTCATTGTCACAAGTAGCAGTGAGAAACAGCTGAGGTCGTGCGATAAACAGACATGTGT